GTGTACATATGTTAATTTCCAAAATGTAAATCTTGTAGTCTCAAGAGGCCTATATATAGATCTAGAGAAAACGTAAATTTGTTTCTTCATCTTACACACTTATTTAGAGAAAACAGAAGCTCATTATCAAGGTAATAATAAGTATTTATAGTCTTATATTTTAGATTACTTGATCATGTCGCAAGGTCTATTATTATTGCTGTTGTTACTTTGTTGTACTTCTGTTGTGGTTATCTTTTTACTACGACGACGCATGATGCTTATTATTATAGTCACTACCATTGCTATTATTTTATTATTACTATCTTCCTATGAAAAAGATTTGTCAGATTGATTTTTTATTAATACCGATCAATTTTAACCAATGATATTTTTTAATACGAAATATCAATTTTGTGGTTAAAACAAAAAAAAAAATACGAAATTACTTTGAATATGAAAATTATATTAAAATGTTACTTATTCAATATATTTTCATATATATATGAATAGAATTCATAATTATCTACAACTATAACATTTAAAATCATTATTCAAAGTTTGGCATTGATCAAGAAAAGTTAATATAGCAAATTTTTTTGGACAAATGTAATACAAAGTATTACTTTTTATGCAATCATATTCCTTAGCTTCCTTTTAAGTTTTAATCATTTAATGAACTTTAATTTACGTTCAATAAAGCTGCAATATTTTTTATTGAGCACTTAGCTAATTATGATAATATGTTTGTAGGTTAATTGAGTGACACGAACGGTACAATGGCTGACAAAGGATCTACAAGTGGAACAAAATCATCAAACAATGGTAAAGCTATAGATAAGATTTATACACAGTTAGAAGCCGCCCGTCAAAACACACAACAGTTTAGAGCGAACAACGTTTGTGACAATTTCACGGCCAAGGAAAATTATGAAGTGCACCAAAAATTGCACAACCTTCAAGATAAGGAAGAATCTCTTGAAGGCAAACTCGACACTTTGGTCCCTCGAAGATATGGATTATAAGGAAGTGGGCGTGGATTAAGGATGTTTTCTTTTGGACTGAAATTTGTTGATCTGGTCTGGTCTGGTAAACGTCTGGTCTCTGTGTATTTTATAATTAAGGAAGTCTGGTCTGGTCTGGTCTGGTCTGGTCTGGGATAGAAAACAGTCCAAAAGAAAACATCCTAATAAAACGTCTACATACCATAATTAAGTACTTAGATTTCTCTTTCAAAATCCATGCATGGATTATAATTCATGGTTTCTTTTTATTTCTCTAATTAATTACTCCGTACTATTATTATTGTTTATTTCGTTAAGGTGCAATAATAATAAATGTTACGCTTTGGGCGATATATGTTTAATTTATGGTAGATTCTATGTTACCGCACTTTTGTCCACATGGACCAATCAGAATGTTGCAGATAAATTATTTAAATCTAAATTAAAATTGATATAATGATTTGGACCAATATATTAAATGAATGGTAGGTACGGTACTCCATTTTTTAAATGGGTACCGGAGTTGTCACTTTAATTTATTTAAGGACCATTGGCCTTCATAAATATATACTTTTTTTTGGTTTATTTACTTTGGATATATCTGCATTATGAAATTCGTACTCCCTAATAAATTATACTATCGTATTCAACTAAAATGCTCAATCGCATTGGTGGACGAATTGAACTTTTTATTTGGTATGGATGTACTAGACTTGATAAAGAACATGTTCAAAAAATTTTATCGAAAAATTCCACCGGGAAGGCCCTCAAAACGCGGAGGCCGCACGGAGGCTCCAGTAAGGTATACCTTACCGGAAGAGTTCCCTATATATATATATATATATATATATATATATATATATATATATATATATATATATATATATATATATATATATATATATATATATATATATATATATATATATATAGAGAGAGAGAGAGAGAGAGAGAGAGAGAGAGAGAGAGAGAGAGAGAGAGAGAGAGAGAGAGAGAGGATATAGAGGACTTTTCATGTCCAAGCGGCCTGACGGGAACCGCCGTCCGGCCGAGGGCATTTCGGGCACTTACCGGTGGAATTTTTTGATGAAATTGTTTGGGCATGTTCTTCATCAAGTCTAGTTTATTCATACCAAATATCAGCTCAAAATTCGATCGGGAAGGCATTCAAATAATTTTTTGAAGTTGACTGGGTTTTTATATGTATACTTTGACGCAGGCAACTTCAAAAATTTATTTGAATGCCTTCCCGATCGAATTTTGATCTGAAATTTGGTATGGATAAACTAGACTTCATGAAGAACATGCTCAAAAACTTTCATAAAAAAGATCCATCGGGAAGTGCCCGAAATGCCCTCGGCTGGACGGCGGTTCCCGTCAGGCCGGCTGGACAAGAAAAGGACTCTCTCTCTCTCTCTCTCTCTCTATATATATATATATATATATATATATATATATATATATATATGTTTTGGTTCAAATAAGAACACGATCTTATGAGAAAGATGAGAACAGATCTGGACCGTTAGATTTGCCTCAAGTGAAATTCAGTATGCATTAGATGAAACTGTAATGTGCATTAGGTGAAATTGAAATATGCATCACAAAGGGTACGATAGAGTGGCATTATCTGCAGTTGAATTGTGCAATACGTGAAATTGAAATGTGCACTAGGTGAAGCTGAAATGTGCAGGAAAAAAAAGTACGATGTGATGTTATTTTTGTACTTTTTTTTCGCACATATCAGTTTCATCTAATGCACACTTGAGTTTAAATTTTTATCTCGCACATTTCAATATCATTTAATGCACATTTCAGTTTCACCAAATCCACAATTTGGTTCCACATAATACAATCCAACGATCCAGATTCATTCTCATTTCTCTCCTAAGATCTGTTCTTACCGGAACCGCTCCCTATATATATATATATATATAGTATAGAGAGAGAGAGAGAGAACTCTTCTTGTCAGACCGGCCTGACGGGAACCTCCGTCCGGCCGAGCACGTTTGGGCATCTTCCCGGTGGAAATTTTTGATGAAATTTTTTGAGCATGTTCCTCATCAAGTCTAGTTTGTCCATACCAAATTTCAGCTCAAAATTCGATCGGGAAGGCATTCAAATTTGTTTTTGAAGTTGACTGTGTCAAAATTTACATATAAAAATGCAGTCAACTTCAAAAAAAGATTTGAATGCCTTCCCGATCGAATTTTGAGCTTAAATTTGGTATGGACAAACTAGACTTGATGAAGAACGTTCTAAAAAAAAATCATCAAAAAATTCCACCGGGAAGGTCGCCAAAAGGGCTCGGCCGGACGGCTCTCCCGGTCAGGCCGGCCAGACATGATGATTTCTCTATATATATATATAGGATCAAATGAGAACAATGCTTCACGTGAGAACCTGAGAACACCACATTTTCCCCAATGTGATGCACAATGAGGTTCGTCCAATGAACATTTTCGTGTTCGGCGTAATATTTACCAAAATGCCTCCGTGATTATTTATATTGGCTTGTTTTGATAAAAGTCAAAATGTGCATCAAGCGGGCTCTATGTGTATCACATTGGGTTAATTGTCAGTGTTCTCACGTTCTCACGTTAAGCATCGTTCTCATTGGAACCACACCCTGTGAGTGTGTACATAATTTTCCGATTCCCTTTTACTGATTAATCAACAATAACAGCAGTGTATATGTTTGTAGTGATAAATTTAACCTACAACGTGACTCCATTTATACATTACCTTAACTAATGATTTCTTTTAAAGAGTTTGGAGAGCAGCGAACTTTTGGAGAGCTGGCTCTAGGGTAGAGATGACAATTTCGGCCGACCCGTTGGATACCCGCACCGAACCGATTTGGTCAAACTGGGGAAAACCGGTTTGACTGGGGAATGGGTACGGGGCGGGGAATACCCGAATTTTTTAAATGGTTAATGGTGCGGTTATAGTTCTATACTAATCTCCCCCGTTATCCGCCCCAAAACCGCCCCGTTCACTAATGGTGCGGGTACCCGCACCGTTACCCGATCTGTAACATTATTAATAAATTATAACTTTTATATATAAGAATAATAAGTATATATGCTAAATTGTGTATAAAAGTATCATATAAATAATGCTAAATAGTATAATATGAGTACTTTTTTAGGCCTAAAACTAAATATGGGACTAAATCTGATTTTGTAATTTGGATTCGCGGATGATTACTATTTTTTATTATGTTATACGTACATACTAATGAATTTAGGCCAGTCTGTTTGATTGCTTAAATATTTACTTTTGTATGTTTTAGGGTGCTTTGAATATATAAATAACAAGTACGATTAGAAATTGGTTATTTGTTTTCCAAAAAAAATTAGTTATTTGGTATCATTTGGGGAAACGGTTACCCGTGCATAAACCGATTCCCCGTTGGGGCGGGTACGGTTCAAATAAAAATAAGCAGGAGAAGATCAAAGGTTGGAGGGGGCAAAGATGGTAAAAATGAGAAGTCTTAAAGAAGAGGAGAGATCTTGAAATGGAGAAGAAATGAAGAGTTGTAGAAAAGAGAAAGAAAGGGGAGAGGAGAAGAGGGGAGGGGAGGGGGCGTGCGTGAAAAGGAGGGAGGGAGGGAGAAGAAAAGTGGGGATGAGTTTTTCTATGGGTTACAAATGGGATATGGTGTGCGATACCTATAACAAAATTGTTATGATTACACACGGTTGAACAGTTCAGGATACACGAGAAATCAATGGAAGCCAACACAATTAAAAAATGAATTTTATCAATTTAGCATCTGAAAAATAGAGTAATTGTGAATTCGGGACATAAATGATGAAATGCGTTGGTATAAAATTCGAATGACTAAAAACTACTACTAGTAATCAAAGACCTAAAATTCCAAAATTAAAGAAAATTATGAATAAAAAATAAAATTTATGATTATTTTACTCATACAAATATTTTCATCTTTCAAATTTAATTATTATTTATTAATGTAGATATAGGTTTGATTATGGGCCCAAAATTAATTTCCAGCCAAAGCCTTATCCAAGTGTCCAGCTATTCCACTAATCCACTCACCTGCGGCCGCCTGAAGTCCTTATGCGAACACGGAGGTCGAAGAGGAGCCTGGCAGCCTGCGACGATACGACGAAGACTGAAGACGCTGTGAACTGCGAACACCAGCCGACCTGCAGCCACCATCCGCGGCGCCGGACGCCGTCTACCACTCGTCCGTCCTTTCTCTCCGGCTCTCCGCTCTGCCTGTAGCTCCTGAGCTCCAGCCTCTAGGTGACCAGTATACTCTAGCTCTGAATTTGTAATACTCTTTTAGACTTTTCTTAATTGAACTTTTCAGGGTTATTGTGTGTTGTTATTTTTAGGGTTAGAGAATCTATTTGATTATTGATTGAATTTCTCAGTTCATAACAAAATAGTGTTTATTCATTTTAAATTTATAATGGTTGAAGATAGAATTGAAGATTAGAGAACAATTTATTTATTATACAATTGAAGAACATAGATTGATTTACTTGTTGTGTGGAAATGTAAGAGAATTAAAAATTTCAATTGAATTTTGAAATTAGGAATACTTATTAGTTTTATATACAACTATTGTTTTTTCTTATTAGTTTTATAATTTTATAGAAGTATTTTAATTCATACCAATATTCAAAATGTTTTTTTTAGAATGAATAATGATTAATGAACATATTGCCAAGAGAGGAAAGAAGTTGATTTCGTCATTCTTTCTGAAAGTGAATCGTCAAAGTGGTGAAGGGAGTTCTGAACCTATACCTACTATAATGCAAGATCTATGAAATGAGGTTCCTCCACAAGATCAAATCCCTGAAATCTGAACTATCTCAAATTTGGAGCTGCCTCCATCTTTTTGCATTAATAGATGTAGATTCTATATTATTGATGAATTTTATACTTTGAAGTCACGTAGGGCACAACATAAATGATGTTTTGATGAATATTTAAAGTGTTGACTACTTTACGTATTATTATGTACGTGTCTTCAAATTTTATTTCACAGCTCACCCCATTGTAGATTTCTGGATCTGCCCCTGCTTGGATGAGTGGATCTTTGATCATTAGAATTTTTGTCCTGAACTGCATATATGAAAGATATGATATATCATGTTATGCAGTGAATTTTTGTCTTGTTTGACTCAAGAATTTACTGTATTTAGCCCCATCTGTTTGTTGTGTTCATATCTGTCCTAAAAGGTTGTGAAAAATCGACGCTTTAAGTCTATATATTCATTGTAAAGCAAAACTGTGTCTATTAATTATAATTCCGATCGGAGTTTCATTGTTTCAAATTAACAGGAGCACCCCTCTGTCTATTTGAGGTCCGTAGTTTATGCTTTGAATGGGTAGTTCTGTTTGCTAGTTTTCTAGAAATGTAATGGGGTTTACTAAAAGTGATAGTTCAGTATCTAGATCACTAAGGTCAGCCAATGGTAAACCCTCAAAGAGTTAAAGCTCATTTTTTGTTCTTGTTATGCATTCTTTTTGCAGGATTGAACTGCATATGTAACTATTATCTCTCTCTGGGTTGAAGATTATTTTTGTCTATATGTGGACCTGTGTGAAACCAAAAAATATATTAAGAGAAGGCAGCTCGGTCAACCAACTGAGAATTCTATCCTTGCAGGTTGGATATTTTCGACATTCTCATTTCCAGACAAAGACGCAAACTGGTTCTGATGATGTTTCATGTTCATCAATAGAATTTGCCAAAAGAAAGGTTCAAAGCATCGTTGGGATTTTCTGGGATTTGGGTAACAACAAACCACCAAAAACATTACCTCCTTTTGAGGCAGCTACAAAGATAAGAAAGGCAGCAGAGCAGTTCGGGTTTGTTAGGTATATGATAACCTATGCTAATGAACATGCACTCAGTTATGTTCCACCTGTTGTAAAGAAGAAGAGGAAAGAACGTAAAGTTTCAAATGACTTGGAGTATACCTGTAGGGTGTGCGGGAGGAGGTTTTATACTAACGAGAAGTTAATAAACCATTTTAAGCAAATCCACGAGTGTGAGAATATGAAACGGGTGAATCAGATTGAGAGTGCAAGAGGGAGCAGGAGGGTGAACTTGGTGGCAAAATACGCAACAAAGATGCATAAGTATAAGAGTGCATCTAGAGACATTCTGTCACCAAAAGTTGGGTATGGTTTGGCGGATGAGTTGAGGCGAGCCGGGTTCTGGGTTAAGTGTGTTCCAAATAAACCAGACGCTTCAGATATTGGTATAAGGGACCATTTGTTGGATATGATGGACAAAAAGATGGTAGATTGTGTGCTTCTTATATCTGACGATCCGAATTTCGTGGAGGTTTTGGAGGAGGCAAAGTCGAGGTGTTTGAGGACGGTGGTCGTTAGTGATGTCAGAGAAGGGGTCCTCAAGAGGACCGCTGATGCTTCATTTTCATGGGAGGAGGTACTGATGGAGAAGGCTAAGAAAGAAGCTGTCGCGGTTGTGGGTCGGTGGAAGGACCGCGATGTGTTGAAAACATTGGAATGGACTTATGATCCAGAGAGAGACAGAAAATACTATTTATTATCTGACATTGATAGTGAGAACTGGTCTGATGGGGAAAATGGTGATGATCATTTCCTGCAGAAGGAAGACAGTGGAGCATGGTGGGAGCTGGACTCTTAGACTGCAAACATGAACGGATGACCATCACAGTCATTTCAAAGATATACTAGGCTCCGTTTTGTATCCATAATTGGCTTAATCTGATTATTCTTTACTAAAATAAGTAGCTTTCCCTTACTTGGCTGAAATGGATGTGGTTGTTTCCAGAAGCTTTTCCTTTAAAAACATCACCCTGTTAAACCATTTTAGCCACGCACAGCCTTTACCTAAAGGCCGTTGTACATGAAGAAACTCAAGTGGCGGGCTATTGAAACATATGGGGTCATTGTGCATGAGCTAAGACAAGTCCGTCTCAAGAACATAATGTTGGTGATGATAATGTTTCTGTTTCTGTCACAACATGGTTCATGAAAAGGTAGAGTTTTTCTAGCTAGAGTGAATATATAGTTTTATTGGTGAGTTAGTTGAGTTCTACACTTCTACCCCCCCCCCCCCCCTGACAATCTATGCTTTACGTACTAGACTTCGACTGCCCAGCACAATATCCAGAAGAGCAAGGATGTCACAGGCTGGCTCTTTATATGTTGTGTATGTTATGATGTCCTGTTCGCCTCACTTGAATTTTAAAATATATAAGTAGTAAGCTTTTTGTGTTTCAGATTCTGGGTTGTCTGCAGTCAATTTGTTTTTTCTACTATATAAACCATAATTCCAACATTAAATTCTGAAGCATTAAATATACTGTTGGGTAGACTTGAGCCCCATTTTTACAATATTGAGGGTGCTTTAAAATATACGGACTAGTATTAATGTTTGATTGTTTGAAATATAGTTTTCTGTGAATATTGGAATCATGTGAACCATTAGGCTAGAGGCAGGGAAAGGTTAGAGACTTAGAGGTTTGATTTGGCCGCCACCCCTCTCTACCTAAGGTAAAGAATGTGAACCGTTGGTTGCTGCTCCCGGAACATGTAAAAGTTCGGCTAAAACCTGAATAATGTCGGGCATATACCAACTTGAGTTTGCCACGTACTAATCATACGGTTGATAATGGTCAAATCGTTTTCTTTTAAATAAAAACATGAGAAATATACTACTCCCCCTCCTTCCCCGTAAAAACTCTTCATTTGACCAGATACACAAATTAAGATGGTGAGATTTGTATGATGGAGAATTGTGCGGATGAGAAAGAAATGTGTAAGAATTATTGTGAACAACAAGTTCTGCAAAAAAAGAAGGTGAAATTCATACCAATAATCTCTACTTTGAACTGTTTTACAATAATAATTCATACTAAAGAAATTGATATAAATAATACATACTCTCGAACTGCCAAACACATTCATATAAATAGATTAAATGTAACGGAGGTAATGTTTCCTAATCCCATCTACCCCACCTACCATTTTCCTTCTTCTACAAATCTCCATCTTCGGTTGTCTCCCATCCTCTTCTTTGTTTAACAATTTTTCCAAACACTTGTTTTTTTCGTATCATGTTATAATGATTTAAAACATATACGGAGTAGAATTGATTGGCCGTACTCTTTCTTTTCATATGGCCGTATACATCTTCTTCTCTTTAACCTTTCTCATATGGCCATACTTCTCTTCTCTTTTGTAAAAATTAAAGAGAATGCTTGGTAAAATCCCTAAATTTAAAGGTCAAGAACCACAAAATTTAGAGGAGCGATTTTTTTCGGAGGAGTGAATTTATTTAGTCCTAATACCAAAAAGTAAAACCCCAGCTCTCAAAAATAAATATAGAGGAGCGAATTTATTTTAGGGAAAATGGAAACTAATAATCCAACCTTTTAGCGGTCTTCTTTCAATAATCCCACCTTTTGATTATTGATGAATAATCCAACCTTTGCACCTCATCTTCATTCATTGGTCCCTGGTCGGTGAATGACCTACTATTCCAAGTTATTTTCTTATCTTTGCAAAATATTATCTTTGAGAAAGATGAGATTTATGGTATAATGATTTGCAAAGATAAGAAAATAGCTTGGAATAGCAGGTCATCAACCGGTCAGGGACCAGTGAATGAAGATGAGGTGCAAAGGTTGGATTATTCATGAATAACCAAAAGGTTGGATTATTGTAAGAAGACCGCTAAAAGGTTGGATTATTAGTTTTCATTTTCCCTTTATTTTATCCTCAATCAGATTCTTGATGCTCCCCTTACGGACAAGCAAAAAAGGGTGGAGTACAAAACTCAATCAATTGGAGTATAAAGCACATAATCAAGCGTAAGTTAGAGTGAGTGGCCTGTGGCCAGGGATGAGTAGATGCTGAAGAAGAAAAGATGGAAGGGGGGCCAGGAAGAGTATATGCAGAAGAAGAAAAAATGGAAGGGGAGGTGACGGTGATGAAGGAATATCAAACAAACCGTTACATCCGTTTCATTTAATCTGTTCATGTGAATTTATTTACAAGTTTGGATTATTTGTAGGATTTTTTCCGTAGGGATTATTAGTGTAGAAACGTTAAAAGTATAGATTATTAGTATGAATTTCGCCAAAAAAGAAAGAGGAGATAATTTTGGGACGGGCCAAAAGGGAAAGTTTGAAAATAAACTCAAAAGGAAAATAATGCATAAAATAACACTCATTAAAGGAAAAATTATCAAATAAGTCCCTGTACTTTTACGAAAAAGTCAATTGGGTCCTCGAAGTTTTTTGTAATTCAATTAAATCCTTAAAGTATTAAAAAATAACCAAATTTCCTATTTTGTAGGTTATCATCTGGTTTCCCTGTTAAAATGTCTACCTGGCATTTTTTATTTTAATTTTCTATTTTTTTTGAAAATTTTTCTATTTCTTTTTCTTTTCTCCTTTCTTTTTCATCTTCTTCTTTCCTTTCTCTCCCCGACCGTTCTTCTCTCCCTTTTACGTTTCTTTTTCTTTTCTTTCTCTGGTGAAAGATTTCAGCCTCCACCAGACCACCAACTCCGCCGCACTTACCTCCGTAGTCACCATCTTCGATCTCCCCGGACAACCATGTCTCATACCACCACCTCCGCCGCCCCTACCGTGATACCCACCGGCCACCATCTCCACCCATCCTTACTCCATACCCACGACCTTCGTTGCCCGATCACCCCTAACTCCGATCCATACCCACAACCTTTGCCGCCGGCCAACCCTGCTTCCACACCCACCACCTCCGTCGCGGCGCCACCCCTACCTCCACAGCTTTAGCCTCACAACCTCTTCTATGTTTCGATGAAGACTTGAAAGGTTGAAAAAAGGGAAAGGAGAGGATTTGACAGGAGAAAGAAACAATCAGACAATCGACTGGGTCACGGGTCAACCCGGACCCGGGAGGGTCAGCCCGGTCAACGTCGGGTAAACCCGGTCAAAGCTTATTGACAAATTAAATATATAAGATATTTAATTATATATTCGATTAAAGTTGTATGGTAAAAACTTTTTAAAAAAAGTTGTATGGTGAAAAAGTACTCTCATTCAACTTTAATATTGATTATAAGATTAAATTAAAAATTATGTATCAATATATAAAAAATTTCACAAGATTAAATATGTGTTTGAAGTTATATGGAAAATAATCAAAATATTGAAATCTAATATTTATATAAGCAATTACAAGTATGATCAATAGGTTTTCATAAATTCGCATATTTTAATCTATGTATTCTAATAGTAATAGCAATTAATATAGGTTATCAATTGATCTAAAACCGCTAAGCAAGTATAATATAAAATGTTAAAATGAAAGCTTGTACACAACGGACATGTAGTCCAGTTGGTTCTCCGAATGGGAGGTTTAGTAGGAACGGGGGTTTGAATCCCCTCTATGTTAGTTTCATTAAAAAATAATTTTAACACGTGGGCCGACCGGTTTTCCCAGGTTTTCGACGATCCGGGTCCGTTCCCGGTTCTGCCGGTCCACCGGTTAAATCCGGTTTTGTCCATGTTAGCGGTTCAGCACTGAACCGGACCGGTTCCATGGCCGGGTGACCGGTTTCCGGTTCGAACCGGCCGGTCCGGTCCGGTTCTTACAACATAGGGGAGAAGAACGGGTAAATGGGGGAGAAAGGAAAGAAATAGATGAAAAAGAAAGAAGAAAGGAAAAGGAAATAGAAATTTTTCAAAAAAATAGAAAATTAAAATAAAAAATGCCAGGTAGACATTTTAACAGGGAAACCGGATGATAACCTACAAAATAAGAAATTTGGTTGTTTTTAATATTTTAAGGACTTAATTGACTCACAAAAAACTTCAAAGACCCAATTGACTTTTTCGTAAAAGTACAGGGACTTATTTAACAGTTTTCCCCTCATTAAAAATCGAAAATGCATAACGAATTTGCTAAAAAATGTTTGCTGTATATTGAATGAGAAGGTAGCATTGCAAGAGGATGGTAAGCCCTTTGTTTTGAGAATGTGGAATGTCCGGCAGCGCGGCATTGCTACGTGTGCTGTGAATGTGTGCTGGAGCAAACTACAATTGCCAGGATGTAGTTTTTTTTTTTTTTTTAATTTGGTCCATTGTAATTTCTTTACTTTCATGATTTTAATAATATATACGTACATTGACCATAAAAAAGTTTGGACTGACAACAAAAAACTATTAATACAAGCAAACCTTATCTGATTTATGTTGTTGTTTAATTTCTCAAATTTTGTAAATTCACAAAAAAAAGGACTACCATTAATTTGCTTTTCCTTGGAAGTTCCAAGGTGCACATTCCGATAATAATGGCAAATTACATCCTACAGTCGGTCGTACCGTGTGCACAGTACAACCGGGTATTTTTGTAATATCTTGCGGTCTTGCTTCCGCACCGTCCTCATCTGTCATCGCCGATCGAGCATCTCATCGTCATTTGGGATTTGATCGTGTTCGTCTGACTGGCTGTTCTCCCCATTGAACTTCCTCTGCTGACTTCCGCATTGCGCTGGCTATGGGGTGCGACGTTGTCTCTGGTTGTATGAGTCTCTTGCTGACTCCCTGGCAAGATGACATTGATTTCCAATTGCTTTCCAATTGCGACCCTACTGTAGATTTTTGGAATTTCCTATTGGTTCAATTGAGTGGAAAATTGAACTACTCATGAATATTGAGTAGAAAATGTTTGGTCAAATTTCCTATTGATTTCCAATTGCTAAGCTACTCGAGATTTTTGGACTTGGACTTTGATGTACAGGCTATACATAGATGGGACTTATTTATGTTATTATAAATACACAAATGAATATTTGAGTAAAATAAAGATTTATAGTGAGCTTTTGTCTTTCTTGATACTCATTTTGTAAGTTATATTTGCTCATTTGATATATGTCATTTTAAAAATGAGCATAACATTGGTACCAATTGAGTATATGTAACATATAATTAAAATGAGCATCAAAATGAAAATAATAAGCTTTGTTGGTGGATCATCAAGACATTTTCATTGAGCATCTAACTTTTTCTATTGAGTATTTAAAGCATGCAGTTGAGTATAATAATCTCTACTCTCGTGTCTATAATCAACTCAATCTCATGGGAATCTAATGTAATATGGAAGTTTTAATTCAAGATTTAATGGTCAATGAATATGTTTTGATATTCACCTAATGTTTTGATGAACTTAGAAAAAATATGAAGTTGATATCACAATACTCATTATTTGTCTCTTAATGCTCAGTAGAATACGTCAGATGTTCATTAAAAGTGTATTAATGCTCATCTAACGAAAATCGCGATTTTCGCTGGAATTACGAAAATGCCACCATTTTTTGTTGTGATATTAGTTTTCTTGTAATAACATGATGCTCATTATTGGAC